TCCCGTGCTCATGTGCCGCAATGCTCTTCAGCCCCTGCCGTCATGTACGCCTCACGCTCAATCATGCCTATTGACAACTTCTGTCGATTTTTGCTCATAACTTAAGATTCGTGAAAACCTAACAAAACAAATTGTTAGGTTTGTACGAAATCTATTCAAGATTATGATAGTACGTTTTTCATGTCTCTCCAGGAACAAAATTCTACGTGAAGTGAAACATCCGCAAAAAAAAGAACAAAAAGATTATTTTTCAGAACTACTGGAGGGGGCGAGGAAAAAAGCGGGTTTTTTCGTAGAAAATCACGACCTGCTGAAGCACCGTAGGTTCAAGAACTAAAATATCCTGATTTTTTGTTATCCAAAAAAATTGTGTTTATAGTCCTATAAAATGTGTAGCACGATGAATTTATTTGGGGGTTTTCCCGAAAACGCAAACATATTCTCCTGTTCGTGAATACGTTCGCTTGAACATGGTTTCCCATATATGGGCGAATATATTATTTTTTATTGTTTGTTTTATTTTTTTTCCCTATATTTTTATTTTAAACTCGTGTTTGGCTAAGAATTTCAAGGTGCCTCCGAGGCAAAAGTTGTTTGTATTCTTATTTTAAATGACATATATTTTTTGAAAAGGGTTCTATTGTTAAGTTCAAAAGTGATTTATAGTCCTATAAATTATTTTGTGCAAAGCTTGGCTTTTACCTAACTGCGGAAACTGACTTATAGTCCTATAAATGAGTATTCACCAAAACACATTTTTTTTTTACATCTTTCAAGTCTGCCTTGTCATCCTTAAAAATTACCCTGTTTGAACTCTGTTTTTTTGTCAATCTACTAAGAATGAATTATAATCATACAAAAGCATTTTGCAAGGAAGGATTTTCTTGCACATTTTTAGGAACGCTAGACTTTTCACCTGATTTTTTGCCTCCTTTATCACAAAACGATTAAAAACGCTCTTTTTTGTGTAAAAAATAACAGTTTGACTTTTACTTTTTCATTCTATAAGAGATGTTAGGTTTTCTCCGATTGTGAGGTTTTCACGAATCCCCTGTTCCATGTGCTGCAGCAATGCGTTTAGCCCCGCTATGGGGGTCCATTTGTGGGGAGCTTCATGTGATGAAAAAAACGGGGCCCTTTCCCGAAGGGCTCCTTCTACATAGCTTGAGACACAAACAACTCAGGGCCTCGCTATCACGGCCCGGCTCCGAACTGATTCAATTTATCTACGGCGCTAGGCCTCCAAAATTTTTGTAGGCCACAAGTTTTATTTTCAGAGAAGCCGGGGCCGTGTACTGGGTGTTTAAAAACCACCAGTACAAGCTATTGGCCATGGAAAAAATAGAGTAGAAACATTTCTAGTTGGATGAATTTGGGCACTCCTGTAGTGGCCCGCACGTTTCCTAAGACGGGGAGCGTTAACGGGCATGACTTCAGGAAGTACTGGCGGTTTAAAAACCACCAGACTGAGTACATGGCCCCAGTGGAGTTGAGAAGCTCACCCACTGAGCTTCTCGTAAAATTTCTGAGGCTTTCAAGAGGGCATCCGAAGGCCCAGTAGAAAAACAAAGAAATAACCGCAGACGCCGCATGTTCCAAAACCCTGAAGGCAAAAAAGACTTGCGCCCCCAAAGAAACCATACACCAACTGGAAACGTAGCTTCTATTGGCTTTCAGTTTGCTTACGTGGCTTCTATTGGCTCCGGTCGACCATGTACGTGACTTCAGATCCCTGATGATCCTGGTAGGCAGCCAGGTGAAACCGGTTGGGTCCTTCGCCATGGGGAAGTTTTACTTCTGCCTTTGTGCTCATCGACTATTTTTTGCAATGCAAGTTGCGTTCGGGGACATCTTCTACTGGTCTTGTCTTCCTTTGTCTGTGTTCTCTCTTTATCTGTCATTCTGTCCTTGTTCGCTGTGTTTTTTTGCTATGTTGTGTTGGTACCATCGCTGATTGCATGCACTAAGCTTACCTGTCCCGAGTCCCCTATCTTCGGGGAGAGGCTCATTCATATTTGCCAGATGTACTAGCGTTTTTTTTTTCCTTTTTTTCTTTTTTTTTTGCGGATTTCAACATTACTACATTACTTTGCTCCGAAGGCAACTGCAACATTACTTTGCTCCGAAGGTGACTACGCGCGCGATGGGGAATTTAGGGGAAACTAGGTGGGAGTCACAAAAATGAGTAATAATTGCACTATGGGCCAAGATACAGTTTCGGCCTGTAGTTCGGGCAATGTATACAACCCAACTTTCTGGCCGGGTACCGTGCCCGAAGTGCAATTGCAAACTGTATCTTGCCCCATAGTGCAGTTATAACTCGTTTTTGTGACTCTACTGAAGTTACCCCCTTTATTTATTTTCTGACATAGATAGAGCGGACATCCAAGTGAGAGCAAGAAAAGGGGTCCTTCGGGACAAGACAGCCACTTACACCCGAGGGGCGATATGAAGGAAATGCCAACCTTAGATCTGCACAAAATCGGGATGAGAGACGCACAATGGGAAAAAAAAAGGTCCACACTGGAGACAAAAAAAATTTGAAGTAGATTCGGTGAGAAGCCCACATATCATATGGCACTGGATGGAGATCGCTCAAAAGTCAAAAATGGATTTTTTTTTCGGAAAAATTATGAAACATCCACTGTATGATGGGCGTCCCCGTTTTCACACATTTTGGCAGCAGCAGTCAGAGCTGGGCGAATTTCACATTCTGTATTTTGCTCAGAATTCACATCCCAATTGCAGCCCTCGACACACTAAACACAAACCCTAAAAACTGCATTCTCACTCTGTATTGAATCAAACCCACATTCTCACTCTGTATTGCACTACGCACACACACGCACACAAAATTTGACTCACATCTTCCCTTGGTCAGTCAGACCTTCACTCTCTCTCTCTCTCTCTCTCTCTCTCTCTCTCTCTCTCTCTCTCTCTCTCTCTCTCTCTCTSTGT